ATAAATTTTGTCGAAGTTAAGCAATTTAAGCAAAAATACGGTCTTGAATTTATATGTGGAAAAAATCCACACGGTGCTTAAGGAGGACAAGCTCAATATGTATTTTAAATTTGGTCGATTTCGGTCAAGTAGTTTTTGAGATACGCATATTTGGGCGGTAGAATAGAGTAAAATATGTTTACGGTACACTGTTTGTAATATTCTTAGATGTTCAGAAAGCTAGCATAATGAAAGTTAATAGGTGAAGGAGAGACCAGGATCACAGCAATTTTAAAGGCCTTCCTAAGATTCCGGAGGTTTTCCATTCTGCATTGCTTTTTCCATTCCTTTTTGTATGAAGTGAAACAAATGGGCTTCTAATTTCGGCACTTATAGAAGGGCTTTTGTAGGACGATTAGGAGAAGCTTTTCTAAAATTCGCTATTGAAGTAATAAAAATTGCACTCCTTCAAAGTGTTTTTTGGAAGTTTATTAGCAAATATGTTTTATTGCAACTTAAAATACATATATAAATGGTCATCTGCAATAACGAAAAACAAAAAAGAAACGGACTGTCCAACAAAGAGGAACGTTTCTTTATTCTGTATACTCGTTTACTTTTCTTAATTCTGTATACTCTACTATATTCATCAAGCTCTCTAGTAGAAGCCTAAGGTCAGTTCGATGAATGTATTAGAGTATTCCACTTTAGGAAAGCTTTCGATTAAGCTATTTCTTATAATAAACTGTTCTGAACAGTGCTTTTGAGAAAGCACTAAATGAGACTAACTTCTTGTCTGGTGCAAGTTTGCGCAGCACATAAAACCATTCGATTATTCAGAGAAGAAGCCATACAAAAGTAACTGAAAACTTAAAATATTTAGTTTTCATCAAAAATGGAAAACTATATTAATTTTTAAATTGAGATGAAACTAATTCCTAAACCATAAGTATAAATGCATCAATTTTGTCATTTTCCCGTAAATAAATGCTTAATAATTTAGCCTCCCTAGGTTGCACGGCTTTCATTTTTTGAGATCTTTGCACTAAACTGCTCTGACAACTGTCAGATATTTGCAGTTCTGCCTTGCACTGTTCTGCACTCTTAAAACGCAACTTTAAGAAACACGCGCAAAACGAGGGTGCTTAACTTAGCAGAGCCAGCCCAGTAAAAACCCAGCTGCAGTTGTCGCTTTGACGTACTCTTCTTTCCGCATGGTCCATAAATCCAAAATTCATCGAAAGTCGACATGCGACGGTTTTTGCTTTGTTTCGGGCCCATAAACCATTAACCAAGTTTTATACACAGCAATTTATATACACTGACACATTTTTTGTACACCTAAAACTTGGTTCAATATTTATTAATAATTCTTCAATCTCGCTTCAATCCTAGATTAACTATTATGTATTTATTTAACGTGCCGATTTCACATTGCCAGATCGCGCAACAAATCGATGTTTTTTGGCATAATGCCCGCATGAGTAAAAAAGTTTTGCGATCTATAAAAGAAATGAAATTCTTGCTTGGAAATGGAAAAACTAGGTATGGAAATACTTCGGGCTAAGACCAAAAATCTTCGCTGTTTTCCTCGAAGCTATGCCAATTATTCACACAAAGGGCAGACAGGTTTTCTGCATTTGGTCCTTCTATTGGTGGTCGCCCTGCTTTCCGATCTCGTTCCATGGCCAGCGCAGTCACTATATTTTTATGCACTTAACTAAGTTCATAGTCATTATATGGCATACATCCCATTATCTTCTGCAAACATTGCAATTACCCGAGTCTCTACTGGTTAATTCACAGCGTACAACTCATTGGCATTTTAAAGATTCCAATAAAATAAAATATCCAAGGATGCAAAAATGGAACTGGGTCTCGTTAGTAATTATAAGTTTAGACAAAAATGTTGGAGCTTTGTTGTTAAGACTCAGAATAGCACGGGCATACATATCGTCGTTTAAGGTACAAAACCGCGTATCAAGAAATTGCAAAGCCTCGTATGTGAGGTTGCCTAAATTTAATAGGAGAGAGTACAACTTGTCCTATTTCAAAACGGTTCTTTCTTTTATCCGCAATAATCTCTTCTCTTTATAGCTAAATATCGATATTTTATAATGAATGTATAATGCCTTAATGCCAGGAGCTTCCGTTGAGCAAATATCTTTTTTGACATAAATGTCAGTTACGAGGTTTTACAGAACCACTATACGCGGTTTTGTACTTTAAACGATTATATGTCCAGTGTTGCCGTTTAAGCCCTTTGGTGGCTAGATTTAGCTGCCACATAAGTACTTTTTTGGCTACATAAATTTAAAATTGTCTCTAGCCCTTTTTTAGCCCTTTGGAGAATTTATTCATACTTGGCGTGAAAAAGTTGTATATGCTTAATTTGATCTTATTTTTTTCTTTAATTTAAATATGTAAGAAATGCATTTTTAAACTTAGAAAGACTTATATATATATAAATATATCCTCCTTACGTTTTCATATATGCTTAATTTGTTAAATGGCCCATCTAGTCGATTGACCGTGTATGTTCTTGTGGTGTGATTGTACCAGCTGCTGGTGCGACTTCAAAAATTGTATGATTCTGCATTCTGGTGTCGTGAGTGGTGAAGTTAGCTAATTTTTCTAAGTAAAAAGTATTTTGGCGGAAACTTCTTGCATTATGTACATGAGTTAAAGCCGTGCGTGTGGAAGATTAAGTTCACGATATTGCAGTTGTGAATAAAAAAAAAAAAAAGTTTTAAAAAATGGTAGAAAATTTTTGGAATTTCGGCTCTAATCCTCATAATTGACCCCATTTGTAAAGAAACAAATATTGTACCAGCATGCTGATAAGTTACATGCTTCGCGCCTGATGGTACAATCACTTGATGGAGCCAGCAAGCTGGTGTCGTATATTTTCGTTTTTTTACAAAAAGGTTTTTGGTTGGATAAAATATTAGCATTTTTTCCAGAGTTCATTGTTTTTCTATACCATTACTTATTGAAAATGTTTACGTGTATAATTATATATGTATATGTGAGTAAAAAATTTTAGCTACCATTTTTAGCCACAACGACTTTTTTTAGCTCTTTTTAGCCCTTTTTTTTAAAGGAATTTGGCTACCGCTAAAATGATCGGCGGCAACACTGGATATGTCAAATAAGTCTGATGGTCTAGTAGCAAAAGCTGAAGGATAGTTTACATTTTATAGAAGAAAATGTTCCAATTGTTATTCAAAATGCGCTGCAGAGATGACCGTGAAAGTGCCCATTTTGTCGCACGTCATTTGTTTGACTAGATTAAAAAAAATACGACGAAATTGACGCTGTTTATGCAGAAAACGAAGCCTAAAAATATGTATCTTTGATAGCAATACTTTTCCAATACGCTGTGTTCCACAGGCTTAGCTATCATTACACTGTACGGCAGTGGCCGTTTTTGGCAAAAATAAATTGAAACTTCAGATTCCTCGGACCCCAAAATCAACAGAAAGGCCTTTTGGTGGAATAAATATTTGAATTTAAATTAATTTTAATTGTTTTACAATCTTTTCTGCGACCACCAACATCAACCGAAAAAAGCGATTAATCTCGCAACCTGGGAAAACTGAGGAATTACTTCTCTATGTCAATCCAGACTTTCAGAAAAACCTGGTTTCATCAATTCCTCAGAAAAAAACTGAAAATGTCGGCCTTTCCATGATTTTCATAAACTAACTGACGTTCGATGGCATGGGCAAAAGTTTTTCCATCTTTTAATTGGGTATGAATGGTTTTTATTTGAGTTGATCTGTCATGTTGTAATCTGTGCTTAGGTGCAAGTTTTCAGTGAATTTACACGAAAATGGATTTTCAATACAATATTGACTGTATAAAAGACGTTCCAAAAAGATTGTTAATTAGTCTGATATATACTTGCTCTGTTTGGTTCGAGTTTTAACATTCAATCTTCTACAGCAAATTGCATTTTCAATGTTTACAAAATGATATTATCCAAGTATTTTCAATACATCTTAGGTTCTGTTTTTGTTTTTATAGTTTGCCTAATACTTTGCCACATTTAAGAGTTGCTTCCAACTTATAATATATAGCTCAAATAGTAATATGCCACATTTGTTGGAATCACCTAATGCCCATCAAAACGCACATAAATTTCTATCATTCATTTTTGTTTACTTCTCGCACATTTTCCTATTGTTGTTTGTTATTATTTTTCAGCAGGTTAACTGCATGTGACTTGCTGATATTATATATACATATTTGTTGTTGTTGTTACCATCTTCTTGCTATGTTTGCTACATCGTGCACAACTCAATTATGGCAACAGCAACATTTGTTGCCTGAATTTGGTTGCATTTGCCGGTTTGTCGGTTTGCCACATTCCACACTTTGACATTTCTGCGTCAGTGTCTCTATGGACACAGTTTTTAATGCGGTGTTGCGTACAAACTCACCTCCTCCACCCATACAATCCTCGCCAACACAATTATGTCGAATGTTCACGAATTTGTTGTAGTTGACTTTGCAAGGCGTTTTTCATCGACGCAGCTGTCAACGCATAAATGATAATAAATTTGAGTGCCTGTCTTTGCAATTGGCTACTGTATAATTATCTGCGTCGACACTTACTTGTAGCCGAACAACAAATCGCTGGGGCAACTAGCCACGGATAAAAAACAATATTGATAAAAACAAAAAAAAAAAATTATGTATGTAAATAGNTCTTTGCAATTGGCTACTGTATAATTATCTGCGTCGACACTTACTTGTAGCCGAACAACAAATCGCTGGGGCAACTAGCAACGGATAAAAAACAATATTGATAAAAACAAAAAAATTATGTATGTAATACATTTGCATATGGGTATTTGTTTTTGCTAAAGTGTGTGTATGTAAGCGTGTCTGCAAATAAAGCCTAATAACTTCGTAAATTTGTTCAACCTCAGCTGTACAATATCTCCTATTGACATTTTTCGCAATTCGTTACGGTCATTTCATTTGGTTTCTGTTTGGTTTGTAAATTTTTGCAGCGGACGAATATTCGATAAGCTGCTGATAAAAATTGTAGTGGACTCACGAAAACACACTTACGAGTACGCATGTGTACTAATACAAACACTCGAAAATTACGACATTACCGCGGTAAATCAGATAAAGTTATATGAGGTCTGAGTAGAGCTTTCAAGAGCTATCTTCTTATAAAACCAACGACATTTCATCTTAATCGAGACTACCACGATGAATTGGCTGCATTTGTTTGGTTTGGTCGCGTCGTTTTTGTGGATTGGCGATGTTTCATCGCTATCACTCGATCCAGGTGAGTACACACAACCATTTTTTATAATTTTAACAGTATTATTTAAGAAAACATTTGCATAAATTTTCCCATGTTGGGGAATATTGACATATTTAATTACTATCGAATGCTCAATTATGAATAATTTAAATTTTTTTTTCTGCAGTGGCCTCGGCTGAGCTGGAACAATACATCAAAAAGGGAGATTGTGTTATTTCAATGCGACACATTCGGTGAGTTTCATACATATGTATTTACGAAGCATTTAAGTAAACAAAAATCTTTTTGTAATATATTACAAGAGGGCAAAATAAACTCTTTTATAAATACAGATATGTACAGAAGTAGAAAACG